CCGAAGGAACGCCGAAGTGCATCACGGCTGAAGCCGAAGACAAAGCTTGAGCGCGCGAAGCAGAAGGCCCCCCCCCCCCACACGCAGAGCAGCAGCCAGACAAGTCGGGTCTGCACCCTCCTGCTCCGGGCTCGGGGCGCGCCTCGGCAGGGAGGGGGGCACGGAGGAGGAGGAAGAGGCCTGAGCACCGAGGCACGGGTAGGCTTATGTCGGGCGTGTCCCCCATACAAAAGGCTTTTCGACAACAAAATTATCCTGGCGACGCACCCAGCCCCTGCGCAAACGCGGGGCGCAGATAGTTTAGGACACTTTTTAAGGGGGGCGATGACGGAGCGAGGGTTACGTGTGTCTGCTGAAGGAATTCGGGGGACTCGCAGGACACTGGCTACAGGACAAGGACCAGATGAAGCTGATTAGTTACAACCCCATCCCTAAGCACCTCTAGCCACTTCGAAAGCGGGGATCTCAGATCGCGGCCCCCGAGAGATGGCGAGGTCTAACTTGAGTCTGCGGCGAGGTCCCAGAAACAATAACGGTTCGAGGATGATGCGATCGAGGGCCTGAGAGCAACTCACGAGGCATGAGGGGCATCTCGCGGAGAGCAAGCTGTTCATTTCCGCTTCGCCCCCTGCAGATGACGTGCAAAGCGCTTGCATCTTTTTCGAGGTGCAACTCTTCACCCAGCGGGTTCCGAACAATTTGATGCAGCATAAACGCAGACACATGCGATGGAACTACTACTCGCCAGGCCCCCTAATCGCCCCCGCTGAGGTGGCAGCAGCGACACGACGTGGAGAGCACGAGTGTGGCGACAAAGGAAGGTCGGAGGAAAGGGAGGGACGATGTTTTGAGGCATGCCAATTGTCGCCACAGTCACTGCAAGACGCATGAGCTGCACAGAACGGAATTTAAAAGCTAGCAATAGAGCTTGCGCCACGTGGGGCCTCGCTCTTCATTCACTCGACGCCCCAGTAGGCGGTGCGGGCGCGCTTGCCGCGCATGCGCCTCGCACGCAGGCCCCAAACGCTAGCCACTGTATCATGAGTTGACGCACTGCTCATCAGTCTTCCATCGGCAAGACTACGTCTACATGGCGCTCCCCCTGGCCTGGTGCACCTGCTTGGAAATCTGCCAAGATCACATTGCGCAGTTCAGGGATTCCCATACTGGGGTCGATACGTCTGTTCCAGCATTCTTCTTTACACTCCGTCACCAGGCTCAGCAATCCGCCGGCATACACGGATAGAGGCGCAGCAGATGAATGCTATCATGATATCCCGAGTACAGGGTCATCCCCATGCGCAGCGGCGGAATGCAACGGCTTGCCACGCGGACGACGCCGACGGCGATGACGACGCTGACGGCGACAACGACGACGACGATGACGACGACGACTGCGGCGACGACGCCGACGACGTCCCAGGCAAGCGGCGAACGTCATGCTCCTCATTCGCCTCCTCCTCCTCCTCCTCCTCCTCCTCCTCCTCCTCCTCCGACTCCGACTCCGACTCCGCCGCCTCCTACTAACCCGCAGCCCCTCCGGCCCAAGGATACGGAGGTCTATTGTGGATCCGCGTAGCGCGTCACTGTACTGGGCCCCCCAGCAGGCCTCGAAAGTGGTTACAGTTTCACAGATCGCAGCCCCCCAGGGATGGCGAGGTCAAATTTGGGTCCGCGCGTGGCGTCACTGTGCTGGGCCCCCCAGCAGGCCTCGAAAGTGGCGACAGTTTCACAGATCGCAGCCCCCCCAGGGATGGCGAGGTCTAATGTGAATCTGCGTGTGGGGTCACTGTGCTGAGCCCCCCAGCAGACCTCGAAAGTGGCGACAGTTTCACAGATCGCAGCCCCCCAGGGATGGCGAGGTCTAATTTGGGTCCGCGCGTGGCGCCACTGTGCTGGGCCCCCCGGCAGGCCTCGAAAGTGGCGACAGTTTCACAGATCGCAGCCCCCCAGGGATGGCGAGGTCTACTTTGGGTCCGCGCGTGGCGTCACTGTGCTGAGCCCCCCAGCAGGCCTCGAAAGTGGCGACAGTTTCACAGATCGCAGCCCCCCAGGGATGGCGAGGTCTAATTTGGGTCCGCGCTGGAGTCACTGTGCTGGGCCCCCCAGCAGGCCTCGAAAGTGGCGACAGTTTCACAGATCGCAGCCCCCTAGGGATAGCGAGTTCTAATTTGGGTCCGCTCGTGGCGTCACTGTGCTGGGCCCCCCAGCAGGCCTCGAAAGCGGCGACAGTTTCACAGATCGCAGACCCCCAGGGATGGCGAGGTCTAATTTGGGTCCGCGCGTGGCGCCACTGTGCTGGGCCCCCCAGCAGGCCTCGAAAGTAGCGACAGTTTCACAGATCGCAGCCCCCCGCAAGCAAGACAGGAGGAGGCAGGCAGGAGGCAGGAGGGAGGCGGGAGGAGACGCGCGAGCAGTGCTCTATTCAAAACGAATGCCCAACCAAGGAGGGTTGGGAATAAAGCAGGAAGCAGGACGCAGGAGGAGGGAGGGAGGCGGGAGGAAGGAAGGTGGAGACCACAGTCCCTTATTCAAAACGAATACCCAACCAAGGAGGGTTGGGAATAAAAAATATACCAAAAATGCTCCCAAAAGGTAAACCATATTCAAAACATGCCCCCCCAGACTATTTTTTTGTATTGTTTGATTACTTTTGGGTATTTACCTAACAGCGAAGACTGATAGGTTTCTAGTAGGGTCAAAAGAGAGCATCATGACTCCCCAAAGGGGTCTGGGCGGGATCCGGACGGGATCCGGACGGGATCCGGGGACTCTTTTTTAGCCAACAGTAACGCACTTCGTGGTCTTCGAGTTCCCAGAACTCCATTCCTGGGCATGATTTTGAATGCCCGGAGCCAACTGTAGGCCACTTCGTGTTCTTCGAGTTCCCAGAACTCTGTTCCTGGGCATGATTTTGGATGCCCGGAGCCAACTGTAGGCCACTTCGTGGTCTTCAACTTCCCAGAACTCCATTCCTGGGCATGAGGCTGAGGCCGAGGCTGAAGGCAGACTGAGGCTGAGGCTGAGGCAGGCTGAGGCTGAGGCTGAAGCAGGCTGAGGCTGAGGCTGAGGCTGAGGCAGGCTGATGCTGAGGCATGCTGAGGCTGAGGCTGATGCAGGCTGAGGCTGAGGCAGGCTGAGGCTGAGGCCGAAGCTGAAAGCAGACTGAGGCTGAGGCTGAAGCAGGCTGAGGCTGAGGCTGAGGCTGAGGCAGGCTGAGGCTGAGGCTGAGGCAGGCTGATGCTGATGCAGGCAGAGGCTGAGGCTGGGGCTGATGCAGGCTGAGGCTGAGGCAGGCTGAGGCTGAGGCAGGCTGAGGCTGAGGCTGCAGGCTGAGGCTGAGGCAGGCTGAGGCTGAGGCAGGCTGAGGCTGAGGCCGAGGCTGAAGGCAGACTGAGGCTGAGGCTGAAGCAGGCTGAGGCTGAGGCTGAGGCAGGCTGAGGCTGAGGCTGAGGCAGGCTGATGCTGAGGCAGGCTGAGGCTGAGGCTGAGGCTGATGCAGGCTGAGGCTGAGGCAGGCTGAGGCTGAGGCCGAGGCTGAAGGCAGACTGAGGCTGAGGCTGAAGCAGGCTGAGGCTGAGGCTGAGGCAGGCTGAGGCTGAGGCTGAGGCAGGCTGATGCTGAGGCAGGCTGAGGCTGAGGCTGAGGCTGAGGCTGAGGCTGAGGCAGGCTGAGGCTGAGGCCGAGGCTGACTGAGGCTGAGGCTGCAGGCTGAGGCTGAGGCTGAGGCAGGCTGAGGCTGAGGCTGAGGCAGGCTGGCTGAGGCAGGCTGAGGCTGAGGCTGAGGCTGAAGGCTGAGGCTGAGGCTGAGGCAGGCTGAGGCTGAGGCTGAGGCAGGCTGAGGCTGAGGCTGAGGCTGAGGCTGATGCAGGCTGAGGCTGAGGCAGGCTGAGGCTGAGGCCGAGGCTGAAGGCAGACTGAGGCTGAGGCTGAAGCAGGCTGAGGCTGAGGCTGAGGCTGAGGCAGGCTGAGGCTGAGGCTGAGGCAGGCTGATGCTGAGGCAGGCTGAGGCTGAGGCTGAGGCTGATGCAGGCTGAGGCTGAGGCAGGCTGAGGCTGAGGCCGAGGCTGAAGGCAGACTGAGGCTGAGGCTGAAGCAGGCTGAGGCTGAGGCTGAGGCTGAGGCTGAGGCAGGCTGAGGCTGAGGCTGAGGCTGAGGCTGAGGCTGAGGCTGAGGCAGGCTGAGGCTGAGGCTGCAGGCTGAGGCTGAGGCAGGCTGAGGCTGCTGAAGGCTGAGGCTGAGGCTGAGGCTGAGGCTGAGGCTGAGGCTGCTGAGGCTGAGGCTGAAGCAGGCTGAGGCTGAGGCTGAGGCTGAGGCTGAGGCTGAGGCTGATGCTGAGGCAGGCTGATGCTGAGGCTGAGGCAGGCTGAGGCTGAGGCAGGCTGAGGCTGAGGCCGAGGCGACGGCAGACTGAGGCTGAGGCCTGAAGCAGGCTGAGGCTGAGGCTGAGGCAGGCTGAGGCTGAGGCTGAGGCAGGCTGATGCTGAGGCAGGCTGAGGCTGAGGCTGAGGCTGATGCAGGCTGAGGCTGAGGCAGGCTGAGGCTGAGGCCGAGGCTGAAGGCAGACTGAGGCTGAGGCTGAAGCAGGCTGAGGCTGAGGCTGAGGCAGGCTGAGGCTGAGGCAGGCTGAGGCTGAGGCTGAGGCAGACTGACGCTGAGGCTGTGACTGCGACTGCCGTTGCCACTGCGACTGTCATCGCGAATGCGACTACGACTGCGAGAACGGCAGAATTCTACAACTGGATTCTCATCTGAATCTTAAGGGGAATGCTTCCAGATATGCTCCTACACATCGCTGCTAGGTTGCTTTGCCAGGGTCATTTTTTAGTCGAAAATCCCCCTGTAGGGGGACAGGCCCGACTTAAGGGTAGGCGGGTTTGTTTCGGCTCCCCCGCAGGAGCGCGGCACAGCGGCCGGGGGCCGCGGCCACGGCGTGTAGAGGCACACGGGTCGAATTTGGATGTACTGGCGACGCGGATGTTCCTGTTCGGGGTTCTTAGTTACTGCCCTGAGATGGTGCGTGCCCTTGGGCTCGTGCACGCTCGCAGCCTTGGGGAAGAGCTGCGGGGGCTGATCGGCTGCACGGTCTGCAGCTGCTCGTACAGCGAACGGACCAATCCCGACAACTTTTGATGCTCCAACTTCAAGTCCAGAGAGGTGGCGGTCCCCTTGAGATTGTAGAGGCAAGCTACAAACTCGTTCACGTCGAGGGCGCCGTTGCCGTCCTCGTCCATGATGCGGAATAACTCCCTCAAGCCGGTGTGGCTTCTAAAGAACAGGTCCACCCCGTTTTCCTCCAAGAATTTCACGTTCTTTTGTGTGCTCAGCAACTCGATGAAAGCATCCTCCGTGATCATCCTGTTTTCATCCGATGAGGCCAGGGAGTGCGGCGTGTGGCTGATGTTCTTTATAGCAGTCAGGAAGAATTCGCTGGTCTCGGCCACCCAATCCTTCTTCTTGTAGACGAGCTCCTGCACGTCGTCTATTCGATTTGCTGCCTCCAAGAAGACGGCGGTCAACAAATTGAGAATGCAGAAAACCCCGACGACAATGTACAGAATAAGACAGCACACCAATATCCAGTGTATGTGCCTGAATGGACCTGCAACATCACCCCAGTCCCGCCCACCTGTGAGGGCCTCGAATAGCGAGTACATGCTCTCCCATAAGTTCGAAAAGTTCTTTGCGATGTAGTTCATCGCTTTCAGGTCCTCTTCATCGATTTCCTTATCTTGGACTGCACGCAAGTACTCTGTGATGAGCTGAGCTATGAGAATCCCCATCATGTAAGTCAAACACAACAGCAACACCCCAGCCCAGAAAAGAGGTCTCGCGCAATTTAGAAGCCCAGTAATCATTATCTCCAACTCCTTAAATTCGCGGACTACCCTGAACGCGCGCATCATCCGAGTCACCCTGAGAAGGCGAGTTAGACGCAGAAAACCAAAGGTTATCACGTCTACTGAGAAATATCTGAGGAACTCCTCGGCAACAGTGACCAGGATAAGCAACGTGTCCATCCAATTCCAGAGAACATCCCGATTACGGGGTACGAGGAATTTGGTACCATCGGCGATGAAGCGAATCGAAAGTTCTGCTAGAAACGCCAAGGCAAAGAACCCGTTGGCGAGTCGCCATGAAATACTTTCTGGCAAAGCGAAGCTGGGAGAGATCATGATCGCGTTCGCCTCAAACCCTAGGTACACGCTGTTTGCTAAAATCACGCACGCGATGCACACACCGAAGCTGCGACTGCTGCACACGTCCGTGCAGAGGGCGCGACAAGAACGGCCCTGATGGAGTAGCAACTGGCTTCGAGGGGGTGGAGGAGCCACCAGCCTCATTTCGAACGGGCTGGTGGTCCGGGTAGGCGTCACTGCGGGATGGCAGTCGCCCTCCACGGCGATCTGGATCTCCGGCAGTGGAGCCCCTGGCTCGCTGGCCTCGCCGGGCGGCTCGAAGAGCGCCTCGATCCGGGCCAGAGCCCCCCCCTGCTGCTGGACCATCTCGCGCAGGCCTGCCTCCCCCGCGCGCCGCTCCTCCGCCTCGCGCTCCAGCAGCTCCTCCAGGCGGCCTTGCGGCGCGGCCTCGTGAACCGGGGTGGGCGCGGCGCGCCCCGCCGAGGCCAGCGCCGCGAGGGGGGCCTGCAGCTCCCGCGTCTGCTTCTGGATCTCCTCCTCGACGCAGCCCCTCAGCTGCCGCGTGTGTTCCGCCAGTAATCTCTGCACCTGCGCCGTCATGGAGTGCTGCTTCTGAGCCTCCTCCGCCACGCCGGCATATGCGGCACGCAGCTGCTTCGTCTGCTCCGCCAGCATCTTCTGGATCCCCCCCAGCAGCGCCTCCGACCACCAGAGCCGCTCAGCGGCGATGTCTGGCTCGGAGTTCGCTTGCGAGGACCTCCAGCACACCTGCTCGAGCGAACCGGACACCAACGACGACCTCCCGGAGTCGGCCATGGCCCTGCGCCGGGACGAGGAAGTGCCAGGCGCGAGGCTCGCGGCAGGGCGCCGATCTGCGGCGCCGCCCAGGCGCTTGAGCCAGATCTGCGACGGAGGTGGGACCTAGCGCATCTTGATGCTCAGATTACGTTCGCGGCAATGCTCCAGGTTTGCGAGGGGAATAGTCCCAGAACTCAATCGCATCAAACTTCTCCAAGCCCTTCACCGAAGACCTGTAAAACTTCTCACCGCGCTCAACGAACGGCTCTGAATTGTCCGCCACCGCGCTTGCAGCGATGGGTGCGTATCGGTTGTTCCTCCCAACCCTCCTGTGAAAGTTGGGTCGTCGTTTTGGATCCGCAGCGCCTCGCGTCTCGTCCCACCTCCTCGTCCATCCCCTCCTTGCCTCTGCTCTCTGCACCATGCTAATTTCAGCATGCCCCTCACACGCTCCGTGGACCGAAGAACCCAGCGGCAGAGTTCGCACGGCGGTGGTGCCTAACTTCGGCATACCCCTCACACGCTTCGTAGCCCCATGGGGAGCTCCACCGAATCCTCCAGTGGCAGGGTCTATATGGTGGCGGTGCATCATGGCACACCCCGACACAACGCTTCGTGGTCCCATACGGTTGAGGGGACAAATATATGCAACACTCCACCTCCCTCGCACTTCAAAGTTGGCACGTTCACAAACTATCGCTCGGACACTCAAGCTTGGAGTATCCGAAACCAACATTGTATTCGGGGGAAGGGGGCGAGTTCAGACCATCTGTTACGTGTGAATGTTGTTCAATTGTTTCCGACACCTGCCGGGAAAACCTCTCACGGCTACAGAGGGCATGTTCGCAATGCGCCGCCAGCCCAATTTCAGCAAACCCCACACACGCTTCGTGGCCCCATGGGGAGCTCCACCTACGGCCCCAGTGGGCATGGTTGCATGGCGCCCCCAAGCACACATCGGCAGATCCCCCACACGCTTCGTGATCCCATAGGGACAGCCACCTGCGGCCACAGTAGGCATGTTCGCATGGCGCCGCCCCGCCAATTTCGGCAAACCCCTGACACGTTTCGCGGCCCCTTAGAAAGCTCCACGGGCATGTTCGCGTGGCACCGTCACGCCCATGCCAGTACACCCCTCACTTGCTTCGGGGGGGCCTCCACCTAAGGCCACGAAGAACATGTTCGCATGGCGTCCCCCCCCCATTGCACACCCATCATACGTTTCGTAGCCCCGTAGGATACTCCACCTACGGCCCCAGCGGGCATGCTCGCATGGCGTCCCCCCGCTCACTTCGGAACACCCTTCACGCTTCGTGGCCCCGTGGGGAGCTCCACCGAAGGCTCCACTGGGCGCGTTCGCATGGCGCCGCCCCGCCCAAGTTGGCACATCTCTCACACGTGACGTGGCTCCATCAGGGACCTCCACCTACGGCCCCAGGGGGCATGTGCGCGTGGCGCCGCCCCGCCCATGCCGGCTTACCCCTCACGCGCTCCGTGGCTGAGCAGGGAGCTCCACCTGCGACCCAGTGGGCATGTTCGCGTGGCGCCTCCACGCACATGCCCACATCCCTCGCACGCTTCGTGATCCCATGGGGACAACCACCTACGGCCCCAGCGGGCATGCTCGCATGGCGCCGCCCCGCCCGTCTCGGCCTACCCCTCACACGCTTCGTGGCCTCATGGGGAGCTCCACCGAAGGCTCCACCGCAGCTGGCGGCTCCGTTTCGGCACACCTTCATGCGTTCCTTGCTCCATAACATGGAGCACCGCCGAAGGCCCCAGTGGCGATATCCGCGGGCTGGGCGGCTCCACTTCGCCTCGACGCGTCACTCGGATCGCGACCCATCGGGAGCTCCACCCATGGCACCAATCGGGCGTCATGGTGCGTCCACAGTGCCGCCCCCGCGTCCATTTCGGCACACACCTCACGCGGATGGTGCCACATAGGGAGCTCCACCGCCACCCATCCGCGGTGCCCCGAGCTACATCCCGTTCGCCGCACGCTGCCTATGACAAGAGGACGACGCCTTGCACCACCCGCAGCTGCATAGGTCAGGTTCGTCGTCAGGTTAATGTGTTACTTTCGACTCTTGCGAAGCAATCGTGAGAACCCCCCCCCGACGCAGCGAGCCCAACATTCGTTCATGGTTGGTCAAGTCCCTGCGCTTTTGCCCTCCAAACGTATGCCACAATCAAGAACATGACATGTTTCACTGCACCTCCTCCCCCGGGGCGACCCACCGCCCCGCCCCCCCCCCGACTGGCTTCTGATGTGCCCCGTGAAGCTGTTGCGTGGCCCGTTGGATTTTCGTGTGGCTTGGCGCGCGACTGGATGAGTTTCGCTGTGGCCCGCGCTGGCCATTTCATGAAACGTTGTATGTGCACTCTTTGTTTGCTAGCTCTAGAACTCCTGGTCACTCTTGAGGGCTTGCACTCCCTCCCACAAAATAGGGGCCACTCACAAACAACTAAGTAGGGGCGTGTTGATTCGGCTGGTAGTAATAGGAATGGAAAGACTCGTGTAGTAATCCCGTCGTAGCAGTGTTAGTCGTGGTAGTAGAAGTAGTGGGGGCAATAGGAGAGGTAGTACTAGTACAAGTACGAAAAGTATTAGTAGTAGTCGTCGTCGTCGTAGTAGCAGTAGTAGTAGTAGTCGTAGTAGTAGTAGTAATCGTAGTAGTAGAAGTAGTAGTAGCAGCAGCAGCAGTAGTAGTGGTCGTAGAAGTAATAGTAGAAGAAGGAGATTAACAAGCAGTGGTAGCAATAGCACTAGGAACAATAATAGCAGTAGTAGTAGTAGAAGCAGTAGTGGTAATAATTCGCCGGCCCAACGGGCCAGGGCGTGCTAAGATCTCCGGTAACTGGTTAACAGTATTAACAATATTTCTAGTTCGCGCGCGCGGGGCGGCCCCTGGGGGTCCCCCGGCGAAAAGTACCCCGACCAACGCCCGACCAAGTCTACTCAGAGATGGTTTTCCTTCTGGGTGCGGCCTCTCAGGCTCCCCAGAGCGCGCTCAGAGTGCCCCAAGAGGCCCCCAAGACTGCCCAAGAGGCCCCCGAGACGCCCAAAGAGCGCTCGAAGACGCCGAAGATGACCCCAAGACGGCCCAAAAGGCCCCCAAGACAGCCCAAGAGGCCTCCAAGACGCCCCAAGAGCCTTCCAAGAGGCCTCCGAAGAGAGCCCCAAGAGGCCAAAATCGTTGATTTTCATTGGTTTTTTCGATGTTTTTTGTGTTCTGGCTTTTTCGGCTTCCGGACGCTCCAAGACGGCCCAAGAGGCCCCCAAGACCGCTCCAAGACGGCCCACGAAGCTCCCAAGACGGCGCCGAAACGACCCAAGAGAGCCCTCAAGACGGCCCAAGTGCCGCCCAAGACGGACCAAGAGGCCCCAAGACGGGCCCAAGAGGGACTCAGGAGGG